CAGAACAGGTAGTAGGTGCTGTGAATGGTAGAAGAGGGAGAGGTCGCTGTGGCTTCATGGTCTGAGAAGGAAGGCTTCCTGGAGGAGGGGACTACTGAGCTGAGCCTTGAAGAATTGGTAGAATTGGGTGATCATAGAGACTGGGAAAGGATGCCAGAGTGGAGAACAGCATGAGCAAAGGTGCAGAAGCCACACAGATTGCAGGGAAGAGGCAGGGCCCTGAGTTTGTGGGCGTGGATGGCGCAGAACAGAGTGCACGCCCGTTCTGCAGGGGCGGAGTGGGGACCAGGAGGCCCTCACCGCTCCCACTCCCAATACAGGACAACACCATCGACTTCCTGGAGTACGTGGCAGCCCTGAACCTGGTGTTGAGGGGCACCCTGGAGCACAAGCTGAAGTGGACCTTCAAGATCTATGACAGGGACCGCAATGGCTGCATCGACCGCCTGGAGCTGCTGGACATTGTAGAGGTCAGTGTCTGTCCGTGAGGCCAGGTACCTGGACTCGGGCGCACCCCTGGGCTCTGAGGGTGGCCCACTGAGGTGGGTGCCCAGGGGCTGGAGTTCAGGAAGAGGCATTGAAATCATTCAGGTGTGCTCTCTGACCACAGTGGAATTAGGCTAGAAATCAATTACAAAAAACTGAAAAATCCCCATGTGTTGGGAAATTAGGCAATACACTTCCAAATATTCCATGAATCATCAAAGACGAAATCACAGACACACACAGTATTTTGAACTGAATAATGATGCAAAAATAACCTAACAAAACTTGTGGAATGTGGCTAAAGCTGCGCTTTAGAAACATGTAGCCTTAAAAATGTATGTGTTAGAAAATGAGAGTTTGAAAATCAATGAGCTAAGAAGTCACCTCAAGAAATTAGAAAAAAAAAGAGTAAATTAAAACCAAAGAAAGTAGGAGAAAGGGAAAATACTGTAAAGAGCAGAAATTAGTGACATAGAAAAAATATACAAAAGGAAAGTCAACAAAACCCGAAGCTGGTTCTTGAAAGGCTAATACAGTGATTAACCACCACGGGGAGGGGGTGGCCAGCAAGGAAAACACCGCCCACTAACGCAGACTCTGAGGTAGGGACGGTATCAGCCCGTTGCTCCCCAGAGGTGCTGGTGGACCCGCCAGCCCACTTTACAGGTAAGGAAATCGCCTCTCAGAGGTTCTGTGTGTGCTCGCGTGCATCCCCCGGGGGGGTGCTGTGGCCGGCTGTGACCCCCTCGGCTCCCAGGCACTGTCGGGGCTGCTTTGTGCCAGGCGCCATGCAGGGCGGTGAGGCCCTGGGGGTTGGCCAGACACATCTGCCCTCAGAGGGCACCCAGCCCAAGAACCAAGGGTAATCCCCTTGTTGGTCTGTCTCTCCTCTACCTCACTGCACAGGGTTGCCTCACTGGGAAAGAAATGGTGCAAAGGAGAAGCCTGTTCTTTCCCCTCCAGTTTAAACACCCATTGTCCTGTGTCTCCCATCATCCTGTATCATGCACATAGACACGCACATCCGTAAATATACTACATTCTCTTTTCCTCTCGGAATCCCCATTTTCCTCCGTAAAGGAGCACTGAGACCATCCCAGTGCCATACACAACCCTCATCAGCAGTTTGGGGTTTCACTTTGGGTGGTGGCAGGGTGGGGCGGCAGGAGAGGTCAGGAGCTCCTCAGCTGCAACCAGGCCAGTGGGACCCTGGGACACCTCAGTTTGGGTCCCGTGGTCCTCAGGTGCACAGCCGGGGGGCGGGCAGCACTGGGGGAAATGGTGCTGAGGAGCATGGGTTGGGGGGCAGAGTTTGCAGGTCCCCTCAATGCCCCCGGGGTTTCCTCCACAGGCGATTTACAAGCTGAAGAAAGCCTGCAGGGTGGAGATGGAGGCCGGGCAGCAGGGCCAGCTGCTCACGCCCGAGGAGGTCGTGGACAGGATCTTCCTTCTGGTGGATGAAAACAGAGACGGTAACCAGGGCAGAGACGGTGGCCCACTCCACAGCAGCCCCTCTTCCTGGCCGTGTGACCTTGGGAGAGCCCTCCACCTCTCAACAACCAGTGTCTTCATCTGAGAAATAACAAAGGGTGTCACCAGTGCATCACATTTGTAAGAGTGATCAGAGCTCCTACTGGAGTTGCTGGTGGAGGCCAGGCGAGCGAGCAGCGGGAGCTTTGGAGTCAGGCAGACAGGATGAGGCACCAACCTCTCGCCCTGCCTTGGTGTCCTCTTCTGGAAATGGGGACAATAATGTCTGAGAGGGCTGAGTCGGGTGATTAAAGCCCCAAGGCTGCACAGGGAGGGAGCAGGTAGGGAGCACACGTAGCAGAGCCCTCAAGAAGATTTTGAGGGCACTATGGGCGAAAGTAAAACTTCAATTCATTTGCAAAGGAAGTCCCTTGAAGAAGCCCTTGCAGGTTCCAGGAGACTCCCTGAGAATCACTGGGCCCCAGGCTCAGGCCCCGAGTCTGCAGGTTCCTTCGTGCAGGAGCTGCAGGTGCACCGCGGGAGGGAAGGCCTCCCCTCTCGCCCCAGCCCCACGCCTCCATTCCTCCACAAGACCCTCTCTCCCACCCTGCCCAGGCCAGCTGTCTCTGAGCGAGTTCATCGAAGGTGCCCGTCGTGACAAGTGGGTGATGAAGATGCTGCAGATGGACGTGAATCCCAGTGGCTGGATCTCCCAGCAGAGGCGGAGAAGTGCCATGTTCTGAGTGTCCTGGGCCCCGGGGGATCCTGTGGGAGTCCACAGGCCCCTCCAAGACTCCAGGCTCACAGGTCTCCGGAGTAGTGGGAGGGCCACTGGTTCAGCCCCCTTATGCCCACTCTTCCCAGCAGCCTGGGGAGGGAAAGGGGCTGGGGGGAGGGAGGGGCCATTGGTCTGAAGCCACCAGCAGGGCACAGTCCATTGAGAGGGTTTACTGGGGTGGTGAAGGGAATGGCCTACTCACTCCCTTGAGCTGCCCCGGTGGCACCTCTGCCTGGGCTGGGTAGTTGCGGGGCCCCCACAAATTCCTGCATGGCTCTTAGCTGGAAGCAGGGGCAAACTGAGAGGTGGGGTTGCATAGACCAAATGAACAATGAGAACACCCCCTCCTGTGGGAAACAGACTGGTGGAAGGCAGGGGCTGGAAAGTGTGGAGCTGGAAGAAAGGCAGCAGCTGGCAGGGTGGAGGGGACCCCCAGGGTCCTGAGGAGTGCTCATGGGAGGGTGCTTGCCTCCTCCCCGCCAAGTTGTCCCCACCTGAGGTGTCAACAGGGAAAACTGCAGCAGGTCAGGCTGGGGTCTCCTGCCCTTGGAGGGGTCAGCGGTCCTCAAAGGGGCCGCTTCAGCTCTGCACTGCCCCTGCTCCCCCACCCTCCGCTCCACGCCCAGCCCTCATCCCCACCCTTGCCTCTCTGAGCATGGCCCTTCCACAGTCCCAGCCGCAGGCCAAATGTGTCTCCTTAGTGAATAGAGAAACTGTCCCGCTGTCTCAAGGGAGAATTGGGGGCCTGAGGACCCAGGTTCTAGGCCAGGCTCTGCCTCCAATAGCTACGAGACCCGAGACGGCCACTTCTCTTGCTGACCACTGTTAGTGAGCTGGCCTGGGCTGGACCAGCAGTTTCCAGATGATTATTTTTTCAGCTGTGGAATTATTTTTGTTACACAAACTCTGTGTGCACCCCCAGTATAGAAATTGGATTAAAGAGGAGCTGCTTGGTTGAAGAAGGGCTGAGCCCCTCAGACCCTCCCACCACTGGAGCCAGAGGCTCCCCTGAGAACTCAGGGCCCTGGGCTGGTGTTACCCCTGGGACCCGGGAAAGTGCTTGCTTCACTTCGAACAGACATGTTTTCATGTTGATGGATGAAAAATAAAACAAATCTGTTGAGTCTGTGATTTCATACAAATCATTTCATACAAAATGATTTCATCATTTCATATGATATTCATACAAAGGTTCCTTTAGAAATAAATTTTAGGTAAAAGTGGTTGATTAAAAAAACAACAGTTGAGGCAGGACATAGATAAGCCCCAAATCATGAAGTTGGTGTGTGAGTGATGCTGGGAAAACGTCACCCTTCCCTCCAGATACCCCCTGACTCTGACCTTCAGGATTTCCCGAGGGGCAGCCACCAGAGAAGGAGCAGACGTGTCAGCTCCATGTTCCCAGGCTGCTCGGCAGTGACCTTCACCAGCCCTCCGTGCCTGTGCTCGGCCCAGCTGGCTTCGCGGGCGGCTGGTCCAAGTGACGGACGGGATGGGTGTCAACCAAACACTGCTCTCACTCCCCGGGGGCTCTCTGCAATCAGAGGACTCACCCCCTTTTTCTCCCTCCCCCACCCCTGGATTTTTACTGACTCCCCGCACTCTCCATACCAAAGACTCAAAGCCCAGAAGAAAGAGCAGCTTGAAAAATCGGGCACAGCTGCTTCAGCCTGTCTCTCCCCAGGTTCTTTGACAGGTATTTCTAAAGTTGGGGTGTGCAAAGAATGAGGGCGAGGCCCACCTGTAACAGATTGCCCCACTTCCCAAATGATGTCAGGTGTCACTGCAGCAAGAGAGACTTAGGTGAGACCAGGGAGGGTCAGGTCACCTTCAGTGACTCACAGACCCGTAGGGAACCATGAGGCAGGCACCATAGGCCACTGGGTAGCCAGCAGGGGAAGTGTGAGGTGTGGTGCAGTCACTTATGAATGAGCACGGATTCCTCCAGAAAAACAAGGGCTGTCTGTGGCCCTTTTTGGCCAGTGTCCGACGCAAGCACGCCTCCCCAGAGTGAGTGAGTGCGTGTCATTAGTCGCGATTCCATCTGTGCGATCATCTAAACACTCCGTCCTCTTCTCCTTCGCAGCACTGTAACTTCTTGAAGGAATTTGTTGGAGTTTTTTTCTCCTATGACTGGGGCTCTTGGATGTGCTCCCTAAAAATGGGTATGATGACCCCTATTGGTAACCTGTGAATCCTAAGAGATACCCCCAATTTACACCTAAGAAAACTCCTCCCCACGTCCCACAGCCCCCACACGATACCCACACATCACCCAGAGTGCCCCTCCAACCTCCCGCACACACCGTCTTCTCCACACGCAACCTCCAACTCCCCTTTCGAGGTCCGAGTCCGGGGTCGCCTCTGCGAGGCTGCCCCTGAGTCACCTTCACTCTTGGTTCCCCGTGCTCCTACAGGAATCCATTCACAGCTTCCCTAGCATGCTTTATTATAACGATGCGTAGCCTGGGGGTTCTTTGACAATGAGAAGGGTCCTTTCCATCTGCACATCTAACATCTAGCATTAGTTCGTAGTAGGTGCTCAATAAATACTTGTTGAATGAATGAGAGGGAGGAATCAGTGCAAACCACACAGGTAGGCTCCAGGGTCCCGGGCTCCGTGTGGCACCAGGACGGAGACTTGCCAGATTCCATCGGAGTCCCGGGAAAGCTCAGCTCTGCCTCAGAGCTTCCACGTCTGGAAGAGGGTGGGACTGGAAAGCTGGGAAGAGCTGGGGGAGCTTCCCGAGGGGCAAAGAGGAGCCTGAGGGTGCAGGGGTGTTGAGGAGCCGCTGCTGGCAGGAAGCAGTCACTGCCAGCTGAGTCACACTGAGGTTCAGAAGCCCCCTTCACTGTCCCCACCCCTGGACTCTCAGCACTGCTCCCATGTCACCACCTCGCAGCCTGGAGAGGCGGCCTGGGCCTCTGAGCGCAGTAGACTCTATCTAGTATAAAAGTCAGCAGCACCGCACACCCCCTCCCCAACACGGAAGCTTCCTGGCGGTGGGTGGCTCAGCCGGCTGCCTCAGCCACCCCCCCACCAGCCCCCTCCTGGTCTTGCTCGCTGTTCTGCAGCCTGCGCACAATGCTGGTAAGGTCCAGGCTTCGTGTCAGCGTGTCCAGGAGCATCTGGTCCTTCTGGACGCCCTCCATGAACTCCTCCAGGGACAGCTCCCCTGGTGGAGAGAAAGGGAGTCACCGGGAGGAGGGTGTCCGTGTCTCCTTGGCAGCACTGTGTCGGCGGGCCCAGAGCTGGAGTTTTGTGACAGGGACAAGGCGGATGCTGGGGGAGGTGGCTGTGAGGGGGACAGGTAAGGAGCCCGAGACCAAAGTCTGGTCCAGGAATCTCTAAACTCCAGGTGTGGGGCTGGGACCCTACACCCTGGGCGACCCCACCCCCTTCTCCTCACCATCCCCGTTGACATCGATCTTGGAGAACACGGTATCGGTGAACTCCTCTGCACTCATGGTGGAGTCGCTGCAGGGGTTAATGGCTCGGATGGCCTGGAGGGAAGAAGAGGTGAGAGGAGCCCCCCCAACCGAACTCAGTCCCAGTGGTGGGGGAGGGGCGGGCGGTGCGAGCGCCCCCGGCTCCCAACAACAAACAGCGTGAGTGGAGGCGGAGGGTGCCAAGCAGCAGAGTGGGCAGTAGCAACAGAGCAGGGACTTAAGAGCTTACACGGTCTCTTGGCGCACACGAGGAAACCAAGGCCCAGAGAGGGGAAGGAAAGTGGCTCGGGTCACACAGCTGGTGAGGGCCAGAGCTGCCACCAGGAGCCTCAATTCCATCCTGCCCCCTTCTGAGAGTACGGCTCCCCGCTGAGGACGCAGCCCCGCCCCCGCCCCACTCCCCGCCCAGCTCCCGGTCCTCCAGCCGCGGCCCCGCCCCAGGCCCCGCCTCTGCACCTGGAGTTACCCGGATGATGGTGAGCAGCTCGTCGCGGTCAATGCAGCCGTTGCCGTCCACGTCGTAGAGCTTGAAGTACCAGCGCAGCTTCTGTTCCACCTTCCCCTTGAGGACCAGGCTGAGCGCCGCCACGTACTCCATGAAGTCGATGTAGCCGTCCTGGACGGGGAGCCGCCTTGAGCCCACTCCGCACCCCTTCCCCCGCGCAGCCCACCCTGCCTGCCCCAGGGGCTGCGATCAGATCGATCAGATCGATCAGATCGAGGAACTAACCCCCACCCCGCGGGCTGTGGATGGCTGCTGCCAGCTCTTCACAGACGTTTGGGCTGCAGCTGTCACGGGTTGCTGCTCTGTGCTTCTCAAACTTCCAGTTGCTTGTAGGTGGGAGAAGAGAAAGGGATTCCGGGGTGTGGGAGTGTGGGTTGGGTGAGTTTCCGCACTCGGGTGACAGCAGGAGGTCGGTGTGCAGGCAAGGAGAACCTTTCTCATTCTTTCCTTTATTCTTCTAACTTTCCTGGTGCTCACTGCGTGCTCTGACAGACTGAGGAATCAGAACTCAGTGAGATGGGAACCGCGTCCTGAAGGGAATGCAGTGTAGAGGACACAGGTTTGAATCCTGACTTTGCCCTCTCAGAGCTGTGGGATCTGGGACAGAGGATGCAATGTGTCTCTGGTCCTTGATTTTTTTCATCTATGATAATTATGATGTACTTACCCCTATGGGATTGTCGTGGGATCACATGAGTTCATGCATGTAAAGCACTCAGTACTGCCTGGCGTATAGTAAGCTCTCAATAAATGTTAGCTAAGATCTCACTGTTACTATAAAGAGATCACTCTGCTGGCATGATGTGTATTCAGCAGCAACACAACCGGACGGGCCATTATGGAATGGCAAGATAGGAGCACCCACTCTACTGGGGAGAAGGCAGGCGAGGGGCTCAGGGTGGCTTCTGAGGAGGTGATACCCTCACTGAGTCTTGGAGGGCTTGGCCGTGAGGGAGAGTGGCACAAGACATTCCTGCAGGACATTTATCCAGGGTTCCCCGAATGTTCACCAGCTGACCATGTGCCCGGCCCTGCCAGTCCTACTAAGAGGGTCTCTGCCCACCTCCCCTCAGACCAAGTGAGGCTGGGAGACGGCAGCCTGTGCCTTACAGTCAGGCTGGGCCCTGTAAGGAAAGGAGCACTGGACCAGCGCACATGAACTTGGAGTCCAGCCCGTATTCCTGCACTTACTCACGACCACGACTCTGGGACCGGGAAGTTCCTGCGAGGCAGATTCGGGGTCAGTGTGATGAACTCTTTAACAGGCAGAGCTGCCCATGGGGGAAGGGCCAGCCTCATTCAGTAATGAGCTCCCTGTCATCGAACGTGTGCAAGCAGAAGTTAGAGCACTGTTATTGGGGGCGTAGCCGACACTGGGCAGGGTGGCCTCTGAGACCTCCTGGCTCGGTGCTGGCCTTCAGCCTAAGGTGAGGCCTTAACCTCTGTGAGCCCCGCAGGGAGTATCTGATCATAGTGAACATTGTTTGCGTCCCAGGCCCAAGGGCTTTCACACAGGCCTCAGCTCATTCAGTCCGCCCAGCCCCGCTCCCTGGCTGCCGTGGGAACGGGCGAGGCCCCTGCACAGCCCGACTCCAAGAAGCCTGCAAACAGCTACAGAGGCTCCTCCAGGGGGTGGCTCAGGGTGAGGATACTTTTGCTTTTCATTTCCCATCTTTCTGTGTTGTTGGAAATTTCACAATGTGCTGTATTACCTTTATACTTTTTAAAAATGGCTTAACAGGGACCACGGAAAATACAGACTTTTGTTCCAGAAAGACCCAAACCTTGTCTTGGGAGAGGGGTAATCTTGGACAAGGCACAGAGGCTCTTTAAGAGACAGTTTCCTCAGATCTAAGATGGGAACGACAATACATGCTTTTCAAGATTGTGGGATGGATTAGATTCAGTAAAATTACTACAACAATACCAACTTCTTTTTAGTGCTTCCTGTATTGTTTCATTCATTTTACTCATTTAATCTCATGACCACTCCCAGGAGGGAGGTATCTTTGTCCCCTTTCTCAGCTGAGGAGGCTGGAGCTGAGAGAGGTTAGCCACAGCCAGCGAATGAAAATCCTCGCCTGGCAACTGGGTCTCCCGAGCCCTGCACGGCGCCTGGATGCAGGCCTGGAGCGTGTGCGCTGATTCAGGGGCACCTGTGTGACCGCTAGGCACAGCCAGCGGCGCAAAACTTTGAGATAATCAAAGCACATGCTTGTGCCCCGGGTCACACTCCCACTCACACCGCTGTACCCCTAACTCTACCCGCCCAGCACAGCACCCTGGGGTTCAGTCCTCTCCTCTTCTAACTCAGGGGCTGGCAGACATTTTTGGTAAAGGGTCAGAAGGCAAATATTTCAGTTTTGACAAAATGTAAACACATGGGTGTGGTGTGTTCACTTATAAAAATAGGCCCACGGGCCATTGTTGGCACCCCCCAGGTTTAACTCCCTCTGTATCAAATTTCCTAGCCGGTCTGCTAAACTGCTCCACACTCCTGGGGGCGGGTGGAGGCACTGGTGCCCCAAGGGTGACTTAGCCACTGGTGCAGGAGGCACTTTAGACGTTACAAAGAGGCTCTTCATTTAAATGAATGTGTGTTTAAATTACTGTTGTTATGAAATACAAAACTAGCCCATAAACTCATGATTTCTTGTCTATTCATTCACTCGTATAACAAATTTCTATTAAGCACCTATTGTGTTGCAGGCACTGCTTTGGGTGGTGCGGACACAGCAATGAACAGGGCAGGTAAGAGGCCAGTCCCCGCGGAGCTCTCACTGCAGCAGGGGAGAGAGCCGATACACAGTCGTGTGTGCATTAGAAGATGAGACGCGCTCTGGGAAGCCGTGGGGGGCGGGACTAGGAAATGCAGGGGTGAGGGCTAATCCCAGTTAAATAGGGTTTAAACCAGGAGATCAGGGCAGCTGTTAAACCAGGGAAGCAGACATTTGAGCAGAGACTTGTAGCTGGGGAAGGTGTGAGCCACAGAGAATTCTGGAGGAAGAGGGTCCCAGAAACACCAAAGCCCTTAAGCCAGGGGTGTGCGTGGCGTAATCGAGGAAGACAGGTTTGGGACAGTACAGGTGGTGCTTGCATGTGACAAAAATTGAAGCGTTGGCATATGAATGACTTGGATTAGGTAAATACATGGTTGGTGGGTTGCCCCTCCATGTGTCATGCGTGTGATTTTAGAGGGTCCTTTGGAAACATGTCTTGATCCAAAGGGTTACCTTAGTAGGTGAGAAGCTGAGCTATTTTGGTGCATAAGGGTTTTAGGTATTGAGGCTCTGTCCCCTCCTGTTCAGGAAGTACTGCTGCTTCTGGAGGACTGGGAGGTCCGGCATCCCGACGCCATCCCTCCTGGTCTCCGAGCCCTGGGCTCTGGTGCTCGGCTTCCTTGTGCCCCTTCAGGAAAGCCCTCGGGCACAGCCATGCTGCCCTTGAGGCTGGGACTCAAAGCCCATAATCTGCTTTGGCTCCTTAACTCCAAATATTAGCGAGTTTTAAATAGCCTCTGAGCCCCAGCTTTCCCCAGAAGGCCTGCCTACAGTGGTGTTTGGCCCTCTGGGCAGCGAGGGGGCTGGGGAAGTTCTGGGCAGCCCCTCCTGGCTGCGGTGGGCACGTGGTGATGTGCGGACACATCTCGCCTTCTCCGTGAGCGCCAGCCGGGCCGGGACCAGCCACGGCGGGGAGACGGGTTTGTGGGCCTGGGCTCTCCCACCACTACATCCTGACTGAATTGCTCCAGACAAACGGAGGACTTGCTACTGAAAATCATCAAACCCCCTAACTAATGTTCCCAACGGATACGTGTGAATAAGCTGAGGCTGAGGGAGAGAGCTCAGGGTCAAGGTCACCCAGCTGATGAAAATCAGGGGCCCAAAGTCGACATGTCTAACTCCTTTTCCAGCATTCCCTCTAGCTTATCTGGAAGTCTTCACCCAGTGCGCCCAGGTGATTACTTGGGGACACACACTTTGACCCCTGTGAAGACCTTTGACCTACTTGAGAAAAGGTGAACTGAGGCCGTTGGGTGTTTTAGAGTTGAAATACCTGGGATTCCCCAGAGGCCAGGCAACCCTGCCTGTCCCCAGGTCTAGTGTCCACAGAGCATCACGGGTGACCCAAGTGACATGGGCCTGCCCATCCCAGACCAGCCAGGGCAGGAGCCTCCTCACCCTGCTCTCTACTCTCCACCCCTCCTTCTGCACCCCTGTGAGCCTGTGCAAAAGCACCACATACAGCAACAACCACTTAGTAGGTGCTCAGTGACAATCTTGTAAGTGTGCACACCTGTTCTGAATTATTTAGAACTCGCGTGCGGGAGTGGCAGAGAGCCATTCGGTCCAGCCTGCGAGCACACTGCCTGTGCACCTCTCTGTCTCCCCTGCAGAGCCAGGGCAGGGATGTCTGGGTCATTCCGACCTCAGTGCCTGACTCACAGTAGGTGCTCAGTGAATGTGAGCACGGCTGAACCCCTAACATGGACCTTCCGCCTCCCAGGTAAACCACGGACTGTATAAATGAAACCGCTCCTCCAGAGGCCCCTGCTGCTCTCATACTGGCTCCCCGCTCTGCTGGCTGGGATCCCCTGGTGTCCCTCCAGCACCCTGCACCCCCGGCCCCTGCTCACTTTGTTGAAGTCAAAGGTCTCAAACATCTGCTCCACATACTGGCTGGTCGCCGGGCTCAGGTTCTTGAGGCCAAAGAACTGACGGAACTCATAGAGAGTGAGCTGGCCGGAGGGGCACTCGGTCATGAACTTCTTGTACCACTGGTGGCACTCGGTGCTGCTCAGCTCTTCCACCGACTTGCCTTCCATCACGTTGCCCATCGTCCAGGCCTGCGGGAGGCTGACGCCCAAGATGGACAAGTCCTGTGCCCCGCTGCTCCCTGCACGAGGGTGGCTTGGCTTTTTAGAACTGGGCCCTCCTGGCTCACAGGCCTGAGTTCTCCAGATCTGAGCAAGGAAGGACCGGAGCAAGCAAGTGCAGGGAACTGTCGGGAGGAGATGAGCAGGAGGGCCAAGGTACAGGGTGAGCGAGCCTACACCCAAACGCAGAGGCTGCCGGAGAAGCAGGGCACAAGTGCCCGGGAGGTCCTTACAGCCAATGGGAACTGCTCCTGGAGAAGAGGAATGAAAATAGGACAAGCCTTAGCGGAGCAGAGGCCCAGGATTACAGCCTTGAGCTGATGGTGAGAGGATTGTCTCACCCAGTTTGCTGTCTCCTTATCCCTTCTCACCAGGACAAAGTGGGTGGCCGGCCAGCAGCTGTCCTGATCCTGTGAGTGCCACTCCCTTCTTGTCCTGTTTTGAGGGGGCTCCTCCCTCAGACACAGAAGGGAGGTACATATGAAACAGAGCTGGGCCAGCTGTGGGCTCTTGTCAGGCCCGCTGCGTACAGCTGTCAGGCTGTGCACTGCACTTGGCCACCACTGCTGAGGGGTTCCAGTCAACCACAGACAACTAACGTAAGAGAACATTTGAGTGATGCGGCATGTGGGCTTCCAACGAGTCCTAAGCAGCTAGTGGGAACCCCTCCTGCAATAGCCTGCACAAGCTTGTCTAGCCATGCATATACCCACCCACTGGTCCTCTTCTGACCACACTCTCGCATTCTCAGAGGTTGCATCTTTCCCATCCTGGGAGGCTTTGAATTCAGCTCTCCATCTGACTCTGAACTTGACACCATCGCCTTCCAGAGGCATGGGAATAGGGGACATTGAGTGTGTGCCTATGAGTGTTGGCCTAGTGGCCTGGAGTGTGTGTGTGTGTCTGTATGTGTGAGAGAGAGAGGGAGAGGGCTGGCACACATGTGCATGGGTGAGCTGCTGCCTGCTGGTCCCAGAAAGCTCCCAGGCCATGCCTAGGGGCCCACCTCTGCAGCAACAGCTCCCTCTGACCCTGAGCGGGATGTTCTCTGACCATAGACTTTAGCGGTGGTTCATTTATGGGGCCGACACCCAGATGGGCTGACGCTGGATGCTCCTGGGGAAGTATGAAGCCAGTGCTCCCTCCACTTTGCCCCCTCCCTGGTTGATTTCCCTCCCTCTTTTATAGGTGGACCATGCCTGTCCCCCACCTCAGCCAGAGGGAACCACCACCCACGTTTCTGCTTTCCCAGCAGGCTCTTGGGCACTCATTCAGGTTGCGCACTGATGCACTAGCACGAAACTGTCTTTCATACTCCAGAAGGGGTGTCTTCGGGGGGTGGTTTATTACTGCAGCTAACCTACCCTCTCCGGACCGATACAAAGACTGCAGTTTAAATACTGCACAAAGTGTCGTGAGTTTTCCAGCAGCACCGGGCCTGTGGGGCTCCTCTCAGGAACCCCAGCTGTATGCCCAGTCCCTCCCACACTGTAAGGCTGCAAGGGAAAGATTCTTTTCTTTTCTTTTTTTTTAAATTATTTTTATTGATATTTGAGAAAGAGAGGAAAGGAGAGAGGAAGAGAAAAACACCAGTTTGTTGTTCCATTTATTTATGCATTCGTTGGCTGATTCCTGGGTGGGCCCTGACCGGGAGTCAAGCACTCGCCCTTGGTGCATTGGGACAACGCTCTGACCAAGTGAACGACCTAGCCAGTGCCAAGGAAAGGATTTTTTTCTCCAGGCTGCAAAGCACTGTTCCTTCAGAGTGAAGACTAAGGAAGATTTTCCTGTATACGTGTATGTATATAATTATACTTATATTTATGTAAGTTGTATGATATAAATATATAATGACATGTAAATATACTTATGTATACTTTATATGAAAGTTGTCTAATCTGTATTATATATATATATTAGATATCAGAGCACATACGTATATATTCAGAATCGGCCAAGTCATGCGATAGTAACAGACCACTCTAAAATCTCGGTGGCTTAAAGCACCACGAGTTTACTTCTAGCTCACATTCCTTGCTTCAACTTCCCCAGGCCTCAGTTTCGTTCCTAAAATGCAGACAACAGTGCCCACCTCATAGGGTTGTTAAGAGAATTAAGTGAATTAAAATATATGGAAAGCATCTAGCCCTGACTGGTGTGGTTCAGTGGATCAAGTGCTGGCCTGTGAACCAAAGAGTCATCAGTTCAATTCCCAGTCAGGACACATGCCTGGGTTGCAGGCCAGGTCTCCAGTGGGGGTGCATGAGAAGCACCCACACATTGATGTTTCTCTTCCTCTCTCTCTCCCTTCTCCTCTAAAACTAAATAAATAAAATCTTAAAAATTTTTTTTACTAGATCCAATCTCATTCCTAACTTTCTGCCCCTTTGCCTACCTCTCCCTTGCCCCCCACCCCCCAAAAAAAGCTGCAAAAGAGAACTGTTCTTTTGCAGCTAAGAGTGGCCATGTGACATGGTTCTGGCCAAAGAAATGTAACCGGAAGTCTGTTGCATTTTCCGGGGAAACCTTGCTTTCCTGATAAAAAGTGATACAAGATGAAGCTGGCGCTGCCATTCTCCTGCTTTTGGCTTTGAATGTGAATGTGATGTCCAGAATGCTGCAGCCATCTTGGGATCATGAGGCTATAAGGGAGGGAAAGGCCAAGAAACCAGAAATGTCAGCCATCACTTTGAACTGCTGAATCTATAGCAATAACCAATGTCTCTCCTCATAGTTCTGATTATGTTTGAAAAAGAATCCCCTCTTTATTAAAACAAAAATAAAATAGGACCTTCAGAGGCAGTTTGAGAATGGAAGCATCAGGAAGATGGTAGTTCTCATGCAATTTTGTGTGAAGAATGTCAGGCTTGTTGATCCTAGGAGGATCCCACGAGAACTGGACAGAGGGGAGGACCAGCCTCCTGGAGGTCAGCTCAGAGACATGGCCCAGCTCTGTCAAGGAAGGATAGCCACCACCGTCCGACCACCAGGAACGACCTGAATCCACAAGCTGTGCCCACTGCCTGGGCGAAAAACTGAGTCCAGAGTGTGTGGATCTGTGTCCCTCGCACTACTCAGGCAGTGACCCCCTTTCAACAGCTCAGGACACATATGGGCCACCAGAGGAAAGACCCTGGACACCTAGAGAGGGATCAACCCTCTCCCTTCCTGACCGAGATGCTCCAGATGTAATGAGCCGAAGAGGTCTCTGTGAACTGGAGGAGACAGGGAGGGCTGCCTCCCTGTCCCTGCCTCGAGTGGCAGCTGCCAGAAATCACAGTGGGTGGGCATCGCGGCCACCGATCGGCAGTGACATCAGAACGCTGCAGATGGCTCGTCGAAACACGAGAAAAACATACACACAGACAACCGAGTCCTGTGGAGAAATAGGGACAAAAGGGCCACCCTCTCCAGGGGAGAACGCCCTGTTCTCGCACCCAAGCAGGGTTTTATTGGGTTCGTTTACACAGGAATTCAGGTAAAGCTGATTAATCATTGCCAGGAAGTAAGAATCAAACAATAGATAACAAAGAAGTCTGAGGTCCTATTTTGAGTCAGGGTCAGATAGCTAAAGAGCTGTAAAACTTTGAGGAACAAACTTACTTCTTGCTTGGACCCTTATCATTTCATTGAGAGCATTCTAAGCAAAGCAGGTTTTACAGGATTTTACATATTCTTTCTTAGGCCTGATTGCCTGGGGAACCCACCCTTTCGAGCACAGGGCTATACCACTCTCTGTCATTGTTTCAGGCTTAGGTGGAGCAAGGGAAGTAAGGCAGCCAAGAGATTAGGAGATTTTCTCGAAGATAATAAGGACTCATGTTTTGTCAAAGCCGAGGGGCGGGGGTCCATCACCCCCTTTTGCTGTAGCCCCCTAAGTCCTTCCTTGGGGGTCTCCCACATGATTGTGCCTGTCTTAGATTGTTCCCTCCTTGGGGAATCTTACCCATCATTGGCTAATCGACCAAGCATTGGGGGCCAGGCAGGGTGAAGTAAAAGGAGCAGAAGCGGCGCTCCTGCCAGAGAGACAATCTTTTGTCTCCTTGCTGGCTTACAGTCCAAAGTCATTTCCTTAGCCTTAGCCTTGGTGGGGGTTACAGCTTCTGATACCAGGCAGGGCGGTCCCCAACAGGTGGGAGTGAGGAATGGGACGTTTGCTCTGGCTCTGGGCTAGGTCTGCTTCTCAGATCCTGCTTCCCGTGCCCCCGGGCAGTTTTCTTCCTTTCCATCATAAAGACCGCTGCTTGGTCTCCTTTCTGATTCTACAACTCTTCTTGCCCATTATCCTGAGAAAGTTAATCCAAAGATCCCAGAGCTCAGCACATTCCTCAGAAGACCAGAGAGAGACTGAGAGGAGGTGACATTAACACCATTGCCCCTGTCACTTGTGTATTTATGACTAGAAAGAAGTGACCAAAAAAATACCAACAGTGCTCATTTCTAGGTCATGGGATCACTGGTTGTTTGTTTTTTTAAATCATTACTTTTCAAATTTTTTCTGTATTTTTTAACTGGTTCACAATGAACATATGTTGCTCACATAATCAGAAAATTGTTGTTTTTGAAAAAAGAAATCAAACAAGTCTGTGCTAGCTCTCCTTTACCTAAAGGCATCATTTTAGGATCCCTTGACGGTTGGTGGGGGGGAGGCTGGGATCAGCCGGCACTGATCAAGCTCTCTGGGGCCTGTTTCCCGGGGAAGGGCAGGGAGGGCTCCTCCAGTGAATGTGCATGGGGTCCAGGCTCCAATCTGAGCCTTTACAGGGTCCTCAGGCCCAGGGTTTGGAAACAAAGGAGTCCATCCGCTCATCTTCCCTTGTCCTGTTTACCTCCTCCTCACTGGTCACGTTCAGGCACAAATAGCAGCTCCTCTGTGAAGCCTTCTGAAGCTGCAGAACTCACCTGTCCTGCCCCAGCACACTCGCATTTTGCTTCTGTGGTGTATTAGTTTACTATGCTGTGTAACAAGTTGCCACAAAGTCAGCAGCTTAAAACTCTGCACACATATCATCTCCATTTCTGTGGGCCAGGAGTCGGCCGTGGCTCAGCTGGTCCTCCTCCCAGGGTCCACAAGACTGCACTCCAGAGTCGTTGGGTTGTGTTTTCATCTGGAGGCTATACTGGGGAAGAGCCCATTTCCGCCTCATTTGGGTTATTAGAAGAATTCATTTCCAGCAGCTCTGAGAATGAGGGCCCTGGTTTTTTGCTAGATTTTGTCTGGAGGCCACTCTCAGTTCCCAGAGGCTGCCAGAAGTTTCTAGAAGCTGCCTACAGTTCTTGTTACATGGGCTCCTTAACAGGGCTATTTCATCAAGCCAGAGAGGAGACTCTCT